TGAAACAAATTACTTGGGTGACTGTGGCCTAATCACTTAATCCCTCTGGAGATATGATGAATAAACAAAGAATAGTTAATTAAAAGGAGGAGGAGCTTTCTGCTGAGAGGTCATTTGTAGTTAACTGTCCATGTGCCTGCTCTTACCTGGTGGTAAGTGTGAAAGCCAAACTGCAGTAAATTAGTCCTGTGTCACTGTGGACTAAGCTAGTGCAGGTGAGCTTCTGCAGGATAAGGATTTCATCACACTTCAGCAGCTCTATTGTAAGTCCCCGCTCCCTCTTAACTCACTATAACATGTTCCTTTGGCCATGCCTTGGGCCTTTATTTCCCATATCTATAAAACTGGAGAGTCTCTGGCTTCTCTGTTTAGACTGGAAGATATTGGAGCTGTCCCTTACAGTGGGTTTGATATCACATAGCACAATGGAGCTCTGATCTTAGTCAGGCTGTTTAAGTCTTGCACATCACATCTACATGAGATGCTTAATGCCCAGAAGACTAATTTTACTGTGCATTAGTGCGGCAGGCAAAACCTGTGTTAATGCTCTAATGTGCAGTAGATTTAGCTTAATGCACATTAATGTCACTAAAAAACATTTAATCTGCACTAATGCGCAGTAGTGCCGATTATGGCTCATTAAGTTTAGTACCTGTAATGACAGGTACTAAATTTAATGTGCCATAATTACAGTGCATTATTGAACATGTAGGCATGCCCATGATATGACTTCTCAGTCTTTGAAAACTAAATACGATCTTGAACAAAACCTTGTATCCAAACATTTCCATGCAAGGAAATTGTTTTGAATCAGAACTTCAAGGCCTGAGACCCCTTCTCTCTTTACCTAGGATTTAGCCATACTGGTCCCTAGTTCACATCTCCAACCACTAATTGGACTGAGTAAAAATTCTCTTAACAACTTCCTGCAGGCGGCAAGCATGTCATTATCAGCTGACTCCATATAGGCTACTTGTGTCCTCCTGTGAGATACTAAGCTTTGGCAATGCTGCTTTTATTGTGGATGCACATGGACCCCAGAAGCACAAGTGATTATAATCCCCTTCTTAATCCAATATTTGGCTTTGTAAGTGTGTCAGGTGGGAGCATGTTACCTTACCCTCCAAACAGCATGTAACCTGCTGCTGAAATGGCTCAATTCCCTAGTGGTATAGGAAAGCAGCAAAGGAAGGAGGCAAAACATGATACACAGTTCAATCCCCAGATTCATCCTGCAGGCAGGGAGTTACTATTGTAAACAGAGCTCTTACAGGAAATATCCTAATACCCTAATAGCCCTAGAATATGCACACACTGTTTGCTTTAAGACTTTTAACATCATCTGAGCTAGAATTTGAGCTAGAGAATATTGCAAGTGTCCAAACTGTTCTGCTCCTCTATGGTTTATCATTAAGCAAATGAAACCAAGAGACCTAAATAGCTCATTGTTATTGAACAATACAGATGTATACTGCAGTGTTATGGTAACTTTGGTAATAATTGAATTTCACTTGCATCATTTGCATTGTATTAACCTTCAAAGTAAAGAGCACTCCAAACTTTCAATAAAAGACTAACAGAGAACATTTCCAGATCCCCCTTGGGATCTTTGAATTGATATGCTAAGGTGACTGTCCTCTGACCATTTCAGGTTCTTAAATATGCCTGCAGATACATGTAATCAAACAGTGAAAGCCAGCTGCAAAGGCCAAATGCAGTGACTTGGCTAAGATCACGCATGAAGCCAAAGGAGCTGAATTTGGGAGTCCTGGCCCCATCCCAGACTGGCTTCCCCCACCCCAAAGCTGACCTTGCCTTTCCACTCATGTGTCTCCTCCCTAGCATAGCTTTCTAATTCAGATGAGTCTTCATCAGCTTCAACTCTGAAGTAGGTTGAGATACCAACATGGGACAGCTTCATGTCTTTCAGCACCGTGGACAGTAACACCCCCAACTCAAGCCTCCCTTCCCTCACACCAGGGGTGTCCGGCCTCTGTCACCTGCAGGCCGACACTATTTGAAGAAGATCTGGAAGCCACAGGCAATACCGTTCCAACTAGGCAGTATCATGGCAGTGCCACCTGCTTTTTCTCACCAGACTTGAGTTTTATCCATGCACGCAAGAGCCAGTAAGAGACCCATGCACTCCTTAAGCCCTTTTCGATGGTTGGCATCAGACTTGTAAGTGCACTTAGAAACTGTGCTGCCTTTATGCCTGGGATAACTGTCTCCCCATTTGCTAGCATGTGTATTCTTCAAACCTAATTAAACCTTCACGTGTTCAATGTTCCATCAGGAAAGCTAAATAGTTGGGGTTATGTTAATATTCTGCCTTCCTGAGAAGGAGCAATGCCTGATGGGAGAAATAGTTTGGGTCATAGTATAGGTAGGTTCCTTGGCAGGACTGTTATGTGCCGTGGCTCATGCCTGGTTGAATGTGTGATTGGTGATAAGGCCTACTCCACAAAACCGTGGGGACACGAAGCACTCTAGTTACAACTCAAGGGAGCACAGCCAGCTGAAATTAAACATTTTCATTTAGCCTGACAAACACATGCTTTGGTTGCAAATGTCAAAGCAAAAATCAGTTTGGTTCAGGACTTCCCAATCCACAAGCAAATTGAGTATTTTGTGTTGGATTAAGGTGGAAAGTTGCAAACAAGTTTCAGAATGATCCAATTTGCCACGGATGGTCTTTGAAAATTTCTGTTAAATGGCACAATAGACCTGCTTCATGTCTGAGAGCATTAAAGGAAATTCAGAGGATACCACCAACAGTGATCATGGGCTAATAGGTACATCTAGTCATACAAATCTATATACAAAGCCAGCTAAATAGCTTGTATTATATAAGAAAAAAGCAGTCTGATTTTAAATGACATTTTAAAAATCTAGATATCACCTGTATTTCTGTTGGGAAAAGCAGGGATGTATATAGTCATTCTGGATATATTTAATTTGCAAATGCAAGAATTCTTAAGGATTCTTATTTGTTTATAATAGTTTTACTGTCTTTGATACCTTTCCACCAAGACAGATCTCTAAGGCAGTTGCTATACTATATTGTGGAATACACCACATGCATACTAAAATAAGCAGTTTGTTTTTTTGGGGTGAAGAGAGCCCCCCCCATCTTAATAAATATTGTATTATAAGAAGCCCGTATGGGGAATACAAGTTAATTCTTTTTCCCTTTCACCAGCTGTGATCTGCTATGTGTAATGTGTGGTTCAAACTCTCTAGGAAAGAGGAACAAATTGAAAACACTCCCCCTGTGGGTTCTCTTATTAGAGTTGAAGTGACTGTGAAATTCACAGGACATAGCTCATTACAACTAGGCTACCAGCCTGTGACCTCTTGAGGAGAATGATAAGATTCATGCAAAAGCAGGTTGATGCCTTGATTGTTGGATAATGCAGCTGCAGAGCAGAAAAAATTGTATATCCAACTCTTAACCTAGTAATTATCTGTGCTTATGAATCTATGGGCACAGCTACATGTGGTTCTGACTGTGCAGTTGGTACTGCACAGTCATTTAGCACTTGCTTTTGCAAGTACTAAATAATTGTGCAGTCCCCATTGGTACTGCACAGTCCTGGCCAGTGCACAGGTCATTTTTGACCCTCCTGTGCAGCAGCAATGAGCTACTGTGCAGTAGTGGCGGCATCACAGTTAGTGCCTGCTGATGCTATGTTGCCATAGAGACAAGCTACACCGCCATAGCTCATCTCTTTGGCTATTAGCGTCTCATGTGGAGGCACTCTATATAAAGTTAATCTTGAGGACAAGAGAAAGCAATAGGGCAGAGCAGGAATTTTTCAGCAAAATGGGTTTTCATTGGAAAATGCAGATTTGGTCAAATCAAAACTTTGTGTGTGGAAAGTCACCAGGCTTCAATGATACGTTTATCAAGAAAGACTTCTGGGCCTGGAGTAGCATTTCTGGTTAAAACGGAGAGAAAGAGGGAAGTTTCATGAATCTGGAACAGGCGACCCAGAGAAGTTGTAGAGCAATTAACCATTAACATCTGGGAGGCATGGACATGGGCATGGCTGGAGGGAAAGAAGGAGGCCACAAATGGCCCTTCAGGCAATAAGTACCCTAGGGCATGGATGGGCCAGGAGGGCTTACTTAGTGCTTGCGGGGCAGGATTGGTACCATTGGGGTCTCAGAGGGACCCGCTGGCTGACATACAGACAAGGGATCACTCTAGGACCCTTGGGGAGCCCCCCTTTTTATAATCCAATTATTCCAACAACAAGGAAAGGGAGGGTACCCTAGGAAGTGGAGCAGGGCAGGAGTCGCATGACCACCAGGAGGCATCACAGCCACCCATGGCACAGTGTCTCCACAGCTCAGGTGCCTTATGCCAACATTTACCTCCATAGATCAGGTTCCCAAGTCAGACCACCTGAAACTAAGTGTACCATCATTAGGGAAGCCTATTGTAAAGTACAGCAGCTCACCAAAAAGAGATCCAATGATATGTAATAGAAGTGTAATGCCACCAAGGAGCCTGGCTGGTTGAAAATGGGGGCCATAAGACTCCTGAGCTAAAGCTATAAGTCTCCATGATGATGACACGCAGGGATCCAATTCAGTTTTGCCTTTTTGTTTAGGAAAAACGTCAGTCTATCATGGAGGGGGAAAAAATCCAAGCAAAACTAGTTTTTTTTACTAAGTTCAATGAAGCACCTACCAGTCAGGCTGAGATTCACCCCTGTATAGTGCCAGCAGAAAACCTAGTTCATTAGAAATCTAAACTTAAGACTGAAATGGGGTCTAGACCTTGCAATGGGCCCTCCACCCAGTGCTTTCTTCTGTGATCAATTTGCAGAAGTTCACTTCTCATCTCACCTACTGCTTTAATAGTGTTTTAATGGTGGGTAGGCATTTTGTAGCAACTCCCTCCTTGTGCAAGAGGCTGGCTTTAAGAGAGGCAGCAATTTGGCATTCTCTCCATCTGCTGACAGTTTTCCCTGGTCTGGGAGGGTGAATGTGGCTTTATATGTGGGATATACAGGGCGTAAATCAGATTTACAGGAGTCAAATGCCAGCTGAGAATCAGACCTACAGTTAGTATGGGAGCTGTGCCAAGACAAGTACTTTCAGGACCTGATGCTTGCAAAAGGCCAAACTAGAAGATGTAAGTGAGAGTATTCACTCTATCAGAGTTGGTCTTTTGTGAAGAAGCTAGAGCTGGTGCAGCCAAGTTCTGTGCTGAATATTCATCTCTAATTCTTCTGCAATATAATCCTTCAAATGATTTTCCAGATATGCTCTACAGGCTGTAATGAACTTCATTCTCATACTGTCTGAACCCAGAAAGAAAGCATGGGGAAAATGTTGCCATTTGCTGCTTGAAACAGAAGCTCTCTTGGTAAGTAAATTCAATCCCTAAAGCGGTCGTCTAATTCTAATCCAATGCTCTTTTGAAATGAGTGAAACGGTATCTTAATTCTAAGTCCATCAAAGTTTATATTATGCAGCGTCAGCTCTTTAAGATGAGTGATGTGAATAAAGACCATGGAAAAAATGCAGCCTGGTTGGAAACATTCAATGAAATGACTCGTTTCAAAAAGGTTTTCTATAACTCTGTAAGTCACCGTTTTTTATATTAGTTCAAAATAGGCAATAGCACTCAAACTAATGTTGCTCTGCATGAGGCAGAATAGAATCTGAATACAAAATGGATTTGATAATTATGAGCAAAATGCAAGCACTGGCAAACTAGAAAAGAGTGCACAGGAGCTTGCTGAAAATGCTCCCCCAAGGTTTATCCTGAAAGGGTATCCAAAATCACTAATCATTTCTGCAAATCATGGACCAAGTCCCTTGACTCTACACTATGTCAGCATAATTAGGAATGGGCTGTGATTAATCCAGTAGAGCAGATATTCAACTGATGGCCCTGTGCTAATATAGATGTCATAGGCATGCTTCCCTGCTCTTACACAAAGGCATGGACACACACTCCCATTTATTATTTCATTGCATCCCTTCAGATGTAATGAAACTAGAGTTGTCTATGTGGAAATGTAATGTTAAGAAATAGTATCACCAGCTCTAAATAATTTTAGCCCTGAAGCGGCCAAACTGCTTCAATGAAACAAACCAGCAAAAATTAAATTACATTAAATTAAAATTTAAAAAACTTGCTCTCACCGTTGGGTGATGGGAAGGGTCAAAATTGGTGATGTTTCACTACATTAAAATATTGGTCTAATTTCATCTCTTGTATAAATGTTAATGAGTTTAGTAAGGTGATCTATCTTTCTTCCAGTGCTACTGAAGTCAGTGAATTGATTTACCCCACACATCGCCTCATTTACTTCAGTTGTCACATGGCAGATTAAATGCTATTCTCTTTGATCCCAGTTCACCCAGAAAAGGTGGACATTAGAGGCATAGCAAGGGGGTTTTTTAGGAGGCAAAACTTTAAACCACAGGGCATGTCAACATGAGATGCTACAGCGCCGTAGCTCATTACTACAGCAAGTAACATCTAAAAATAACCGTGCACTGCTGGGATTGTGCAGTACCAAATGCGCAGTGGGGGACATGTGTAGATGTGCCCACAGAGTAGTAAATGAAGAGTCCCCACCCCACAAAAAAATTCCCATTCACATAATAAACTGTCAATTCATTTAACACTTGGCAATCTGTGTAAAACAACTGAGCAGAGAACTGGAGTTTAAAAATGCTTATTCTTAAGTGACATACAAAAAACTAGAACTCTTGGTTCCAAAATGATACCTTTTATTAGACCTACTGGGAAATGGCAAGAAAATTCTTATTCGAGTCATTTTGGTGAATGAACTTCATGCTGTTACAAGTAATGCTTTATGGTAGGAAGCTACCAGCATCTGTGTGCCAAGCAAAAAAGACCTCTTTGCATATCAGATCCAAATGAAGTGCAAATATTCAGAAGATAGAGGATGGGGAAAGGAGGGGTTTATTTTTAGGAAGAGCATGTTCCAAGTGCCGAGCCCCAGCCTGACTGGACCAACAAAGCATCTGTACATGTTGTTCCAGTCTGCAAACATCCAGCTGCCCTCAAACGCATAACACCCAGGATGCAGAGTGGCCAACTCCTCCATTGCACGTTTCATCACAGGGATGGTGTTTGGTTTATTTTGAATTTGGGCTATTAATAACCAGTGTGAAAGGGGAAAGTGATATCTGTTGTGACAGTCTTTAAACTCCATTTAAACTCAGAGCATATTTGTCATGGGAATCCGTTCCCACCCCAGCTGGAAAGGTGACCCACTTCCTCCAGATATGAGCTCTTATTGTAATTGTTGGCTGATCCAAAGATGACATGGGCCCAATTCAAAGCCTATTGCCATCAAATGGAAAGGCTCAAGGACATCAACATTTGAGACCAGGCTGTTACTGAGATGAGCACTTGAGAAATGCTTTCAGGTCAACTGCTGAATACAGATCATCAAAGTGTGAGGAGTTACTGCAGGTGGGGTTGTTGTACTACAACGTTGTTTCCCTGCACAATCCTGAAGACCTCCTTTCAGGCTCTCTGACATGGTCTGGGGTTTCTTTACTTCTAGAAAGCGTGTAGCATGCACCCTTCAGCAGAATGAAGAAGAGATGTTTTGGTGGTTAGGGGATTTGGCAGGTCTGATTATAATTCCTGGTACTGTAAAAGGTGTTGGTTGCTATTGATGGGTAGCTGTGTATAAAGGAAGAGGAGCTGAAATGGAGAAGCCAGATTTCAATTGTGAAGAACAAGGGACTAGGGTACATTCCTCTGCTGCCCGTGAAATCAAGCCAGAATGGACAGGTCCCTTGCTCTGTCTTACAAGATCCAAGTGTTGACAGCATCCCTGTTTCCCATTTGTTTGCCCCGTTCCTATCAGAGCACGAGGCTGCCTAAACCAGATGCCCTTTCACACCTATCTGAAGAGCCACTGAGAGGTGTTAAGAGTAAAGTAGGTGTGAACAATGCAAGAAGTGGGCAAACACGCAGGCTGAGGTGTTAATCACTCGCTTAACAAAAATAGAAGGCATGTTGATGACAAAGAGAAGTGGCCTAGGACACAAAAGCCTGGCGTGAGTTGGACTGGGTTTGCCTCCTATTAATGCATCTGTTTGTGGTTGGTTTGGGGATTTGAGCATTTAGGCAGGAGGGTTCATTTACACTCCTCACTGGGGGCATCAGCGCTTCCACCTGAAGGCCTGGGCCACCCTTTCTCCTTACACCAATCTGCCTTCTGCACCCACGTTTTCCTTTTAGCTAGAGATGTGTTTAATGAAGAATACCCAGTCCAACCATCCGCCCTGTCTTGGAGGAGATTCAAATTCAGCTCCTCCCATTGTTTTTAATGGATAATTGTGTCCCATTGTTTCCAACTCCTAGGTGAATTTCTATTACTATGCATTGGCTCTATGGGACAATGTGAAATCTGGGACTGCCTGCCCGTGCCCATCCCCCTTCCTGCTGCAAGATGCAGGGAGTCAATGACCCATTAATGACCCAGTTGTTCTTTACTTACACTCACCTGTGAGATAACAATTGATGTTAATAAGGCTTCCTATTTCACAGCTCTGCTGCTCTACCTCTGTGCCCCGCACCCCACTGCACCCAGGACACTTATTTTAAATTTCATCTGCCAGTCAGGACAGGCCCCCAAAATCCAGGACTGTCCCAGCCAATCTGGGACATATGGTCACCCTATCTATAGCCAGCTTCCCCTTAGCAGCCCCAGAACAGGGGCGGGCAATTATTTCGGGCGGAGGGCCGCTTACTGAGTTTTGGCAAGCCATCGAGGGCCACATGACAGGCAGCTCAGGGCAGATCAATATTAATTTTCTAAATTTTTAGGGGTCCCACGGGCCAGATAGAATGGCTTGGCAGGCCGCATCTGACCCGTGGGCCGCATTTTGCCCACCCCTGCCCTAGACCCAGGCCTCTCTAGCCAATCTTCAAAATGGATCCAGGCAGGGAAAGCAAATCCTCACAGCCAACAATTAACCCTATCACTGGACTCAACAGAGCAGCTCATCCCTATCATTATGTACAAACACTGTTAACTTTGTTATTTCTGAAGACGTTGAACTTTTCTGACAACTCTCAGAGGGAATACGCTTGTCATGGTGACAGCAGGGGCAACTGGGAGCAGGACCCCTTGGTTCTTGTCTTGCTTCAGATGAGACTGTTATTATCACAGACAGACAAGGTTCTTTGGGTAAATCCAATATCTTTTATTAGACTAACTCAAATAGAAAAATTCTTCTTAGCAAACTTTCAAGCAGAAACACCCTTTATCAGACTGAGGAAGCATCTGCAGATTGTCTGTGCTCTTTCTGGATGGGAGTGGTAAAGCAGCCAGTATGTATGCAAGAAAGCCAGTCAGTTAAAATGTAAATTGATGTGGTCAACCGATATGGGGGGTGGAATGAATGTGGCTGTAGTCAAAGGGTGCAACCTACACCTCTTATTATCACAGATGCATTAACCAGAGAAATAAAGTAAGCCCAGTAACTCAAATCAAGTTCCTCATCTCCTGCAGGGTGAGTTTTATGAAAGCCCCTGGCAGATGTTACGCTTAAGACATGATTAACCAGTTAATCGTGTTAAGTAGTAATCAGGCCACATGTTCTTGCAACTAACAGCATGATAAAACAGGGAATAAACCACAAATCATTACACAAAATACATGTAATAACTTTGTGGTTGGTTCCTATCCTGCTTTAAATTGAATGTGTGGCCAGTGCTGATCAGCTGCCTGGCACTTCCGACTTTGAAAAGCTCCCATGCACTGCTGTGGCTGAGACTCCCCAGCAGTTGACTGCCTTTCAGCCTGAGAAGCTCACTAGGGCTCTGGTGCACGCCTGTGGCCGGGAGCAATGATCAGCTGATTGGCACTCCCAGCTAGGGGCACACTGGCATCTTGCTACTTGCTGGTGCAGGGGGAGCCCCATTACACCAGCAATTCTGCATGATCGGCGTGAGGGTTAAACCAGGACGTAGGTAGCTGGGCCTGCAGATAGGCCCTGGGGGACAACTAGGAGGTCAGCCAGGTGGGGACAGCTTACCGGAGCACTGGGTCGGGGTCTGGGTCAGTGGAGTGGAGACCATGGGACCAAGTTGCAGGGAAGCTAAAGGGGAGATCCAGGAGAGATACCATGAGACAGAAGCTGAGGTCAGGAGCCAAGAGTCAGACAGGCCATGCCAAGTTTCAGGGAAGATTCGAGATGATGGTCAAGGGAGGCAAGCCAAGTCAGGATGTCAGAAAACCCAGAGAGAGCAGAGCCAAGTTTCAGGAGAGATTTAAGATCAGGGTCAGGAAAAGCCAAAGCTTGGTCAGAAGTCACGAAAAGCGGTGAATGCAAGGCTTGCTGGAACAGACTGAGACTGTCACG